TTTTCTCTTCTAAAAACTCTATCTTAATCCAACCACTATTCATTTCAAGGGAAGAGGTAAAAAAGAAAAATGTTTACTACTGTTTTCTACCAAAATTTTCAACCCCTCTATAATCTTATTTTTATTAACACCACTGAAATGACATTTTATATCACTAATTTATTTCAAAAATTTTAATCTAAAATATAAAAAATTAGTATTTAACTATGGATTATTTCGTTTTATCACGATTGGTATCAATTATGAGATGATTAAAAAATACAAAGAATCTGTATAAATTAACGATTACTTTTATTGATATTTTGGAGGTTATGGTCTCCAAGGTAATCGTTTATAATATTTAACGCTACTGAATAAAAAACGACACGAAGAAAATTTAAACTAACGCCAAAGGGAAGACGGTTAATTTTTGAATCACATTTAAAAAGGCATACAGGTAGAGACGATTGCATAATCCAAACTGACGACGAATACCAACAATGTTTGACAAAATACAATAAAATAATCACGCGACATAAAAACGGTGACACTGAAGATGATGACTAGATGCTGATAATGGCGGGAGTCGCCACTAAAGATGGGAATTATAGTTCATCTAAGTGATCCGATTCATTCGAATCAGGTCAACTAGAAGATCCGGTTCAAAGACCCGTTCGCGATCTAAAAGATATTTTGAGTCAATTGAATCGAACATTCAGTATAGTTTTGGTTCTTTTGCGGTTCTCGATTCGCCAATCGCATGTATGATTCGCGATTCGGATTAGGGATGTATCGTATAAACAAATGACATATGAATGTGTTATCATGTTATCATTGATATTTGGTAAGCGATCGAATCGGTTCAGCGTGAATTATACGGGAAAAAATTAGGTATTTGGGAGATCCGGATCACTACGGTTTGGCGATATGAATCATTTCGTTCACTATTTTGACCCGTTCAATGCGATCCGTTCGTTCGCAATTGTGGCGTCTCTTCAAGAGCTACCACGACTCATGACAATCTCTCGTCGATGGCAGTAACTTGCGATAACCGCATACAGAATTGTCAATTTCATCATAAAAAAGTATTTCAACGAAATACAGAAAGAAAAATATATTTTTTTCTTTGCAATTAAAAAAAACCCCAGTTCAAAACACTATTTGCGTCTATGATATTATACTGTTATATTATAATGGTAACCCAAAAATTGATAATTAATAAAAATGTAGCTACGTAAAAACGGCTGTGTGTAACCAAACTCTGATTTACCAACTTTTAGACACCCTAAAAAATAATTTTCCTTGTTACTCATTGAATCAATAATTAATCAACAACAAAAAAAATAGTTAACGATTAATATCTATACATAATAAACAAAAAACAATCTTTCTTTTATTTAGTAATAGTACTTTTAAAAAATAAGTGACAACTTATATTGAAATGCACTAGTTAGAAAACCTAGAAAACTTGTCAATAATGTCGTCATAACTTATGTTTGCTATAATACTTATTATTATTATAATAATAATACACCGTTTTTGATCAACCAAAATTGTATTTCTCCTGAATAATGATAAATGGTATACAACTAATATTTGACAGGGATTCCCCTTTCAAATGGTTCTTGTACAAATGCATCAAATTTTCTCAATGCATTGACACTTTATGCAACGTAAAAACGACCACTACAAAAAAATAAATACTAATTTAGTACCCGGAATTTATGAGTTGTGACCATTAATAATCTCGTCATGTCAAAGTATATAGTTAACAACAATATTAGTAGTAGTATATAGTCGTTAACAACAATATTAAAAATACTACCAGGAATTTATGAGATGAATTTTACAATAACAAAAAATAGTGGCCACACACGCTTTAAGCCGGATTCCCACGACTGGTGTACTTGCCAAATATTTGTCACTTGTGTATACTTGTCAAGCCGTCGGAACACTATACTTGTACAATTATTGGTCAGTTGTCAGTTTCCCGCAGATTGTCAGTAAATGTAACACAAGTCAAAGGAATTAATGGCTTGACATGTTTATACTTGTAGTTCACTAGTGCACACTTGTGTACTTGTCAAATACTTGTCCAATATTTGATTTTAGGGTGGCTATCGGTAACACAATTTTTTCTTCCCCACCCACCTATATTTGTACAGTATAGCGGTGGTTGGCCTAATTAGTTGATTTAATTTAATAGATAAGTAAAACTATTTTATAGTATAATTGTAAATATAATTTAATAGTTAAGGTTGATTACATAATCGATTAATTATATAACTTATTAATTTATGAATATTAAGTATAAAATAAATATTATTGGATAGTTTAATATTTTACTAAAATGTTTCTATTTGTAAAATTCTGTTTCATTTTTGCAAGTAAAAAATTATATACGGTGCGTAGCTGAAACACTATTGGTTTACTCTGTCATATTTTTTTTCTTTAATTTTTAGGGAAAATAACCTCCTTAAATTTGCTTTAATTGCTATTGTTCTTGGATACCGAAAACAAGATTAATACAGTTTAGTACTGAAAAATATTTTATAGTAATAGCATTTTCTATTTTATAAAGTTATATTAGAAATACTCGTATGTGTGTAAAAATAGTTTTATTTCAAACTTCGATGGCTATAATTAAATAAAAATGAATAAATCGCCCAATTTTTTGTTTTTGCAACCAACACGGCTCATAGAAATTAAGTAAACTGATAACTCTTGACGTTTATATCAGTAAGTAATCATAATAAGAATGCAAGCGAAAAATGAATATAGGTAGTAAATAAATAAAAGTCTTTATTGGAAATGCCAAATTACTAAAAAAAAGTAGATAAGTGTATTAATGATATAAATTGAATGCATTTCGCTATCAAAACTCTATTTTGAAGTGGTGGCTGTTCAATTGTTTAGTGAAGTTTAGTAAAACCTTTTTTGTATTTTTTTTTTTCAATTAATTGTTTGTACTTTAAGTACTCTACACACATAGTTATGTATGAAGCATAAATAGCCATTTTATCTTTATCACTAGCCATTTTAATTAACTTAAGGTTAATTAGATAAATAAAAACTAAAAATTATAGTTAAAGTTAAAGAACTATTTTAACTAAAAAAAAAATAATCTAAAAAGTATCAGAACTAGCAATACTAAAAAATGTATTTTAAATCACTCACTGAAACGTCCAAACACTGCAGTGCTAAAAAATCAAATGATACATGACTTAATATTTTTCAGGTCCTACCCCCAATACAATTATTTGGCATTTGATCCAGTCGTAGAAATAGTATACATGGCTTTTATTTATTACTTGTACAAGTGTACAAGTACTGGTATACTTGTCAAGTATACCAATCATGGGAATGCTCCACTTGTTAATAATTGGATGATTTGGCAAGTATACAACTATTGGTATACTTGGCAAGTACACCAGTCGTGGGAATCCGGCTTTACATCTAAGTGTTCGATGACCAGATGCGTTGCTAAATTTTATGGCACCGCAACGCGATTTCAATTGCCTTATAACATCACCTGCAACTGACTATTATAGTCCATTTTATTAGATGTGTCCCACCAAATTTTAGAAAAGCGTTGTTTAACACATTTTATATGTATTTATTTAAGTAGAGTCCACGCGATAGTGTCACAACAGTGTTATCTTGATAGTGATTTTCGAGAATAATAAGCTTGCAAAAAAACTATCACAAGTGCTGTTACCACAATATTAAATACGTATGATAGTTTGAAAATTACTACCATGACTAAAAATAATTTTGTAGATTTCTCGTCAACTTACTACAATAGTGTGTTTGCCTTCATTCATAGTTGTTTAACTACCATCGACTGTAACAACAAGAACTATCGCAACAACTTTGACAATGGAAAATATCGCTACAATACAAGTGGTGAGCAAAAAAAACTAAAAAAACTGTGTATCACTAACCATAACAAACTGGTAAAATATGTTAAGCTCATGGACCCCAGGGCGTTTGATCCCACTTAATCCGGACTTGACTATTATCATGTAAACCCGACTGTAATTATGATTTTTGTAAGGATGCTCTGAAAGAGATATATTTCGTGACAACATCGTCAACAATATCTAACGCATAATATTAACCACTGATAGTAAAATTAGTTAATTTTTAATATATTTTATTCTTTTAAATTATTAACATGGATCTGCTTGGAACTTTGGAAGTTTTTCCAATTAATCGAAAATAAAAACCGGTTTAATCGATAGTTCGATAGTTGACTATATCGATACTATTGGTTATAGATGTTTTGTTTTTAACATAGTGAAATTCACATGTTTTATAGATACAAATAGTTTCGAATTTTATTTATAACTTACAATAATTGTAAATATTTATAAACAATTATTGTTTTTAAGAGTTATATTTTTTTTTTTATGAAATGGAATTTACTTCAGAAATTAGTCATTGTAGTTATGTAATATTACATTATGAATACAATCGATAATTCTATTCAATCGATCATTCAACCGCGTTTTCTAAGAATAAAAAATAATCGATTAATTATAAATAATTAATACTACAATTAATTTATATAATCAATATAAAAACGAAAAGGATACCGCGCAACTCTAAATATCCTTAAAAAATAATTATTTTCAGGGCCGTCTTTCATTACTTAGAGGCCCTGGGCCTACTTAGATTGGAGGCCCATTCAAGATGAAAAATCTTGAAATTGTTTAAAAACCAGTAACATTGATCGTTATGATTTTTCTTTAAAATAAGTTTTAGCTGAATTGCCGCTTTTTTGTATATCTAGAATTTTTCCACCACTCACTATAATAAACGGTAAGTATTTTTTAATAAATACAAGACATATATTTGTATATAAAAATATATATATACGCGTATTTGTGTATCTACATACTATAAGTAAGTATATTTTTAGATTTACGCGCAATTAGCTTGGCGCCAAGAATTTTATTTTGACACGTACGCGCAGGGACTATCGGTTTTTCCAATAACAATGCGGACTGCTGGTAAACATGTTTAAACATGTTCTACGGCAACAACGTGTTGTAAGCTACGCGCCGCTAAAGCTACGAGATATTTTTTTTAGTTTAATGATTCGTGTTTGTGTTTGTTGATTTTAAATATTAAAATGCATCGAACTCACTCTAGCGGGGCAGCAAAAAGAAGAAAACTAAAGAAGGTAAAATTCAAATTTCAAAGTTGCCGAAGATAACTAATTTTATTAATGTTCAAAGTGTTCAAGAAGCAGGTAAAACTGATAAGTGGAAAGTTTTTTTAAATATATTGATATAATTATTGCCGGAATTTCTTCATAGATATTGCTGCAAGCTTATCTAATGAGCTTGGGCCAATTGACGAGACAGAACATTCGGAATCCAATGATAAAACATTGCTTCCTTTGCCCGAGAATTCGGAGATTTTAAATCATAAGTGTACAGGTACATTTTGTTTTTACTAAATTATTATTTACATGAGATTTTTAAGTGATAATATAAAAAATCTATTTTATTTACAAAAATTGAAGAAAAAAAATGTACTCGTATAAGGGTATGGAATCAGGACGATTCGACCGGGGTTTTATTGCTCGAGTGAAGCATGAATTGACATGCATGCGGTATGCAAGCGTGTAAGTGTAATAAAAAGAGGTCCGAACAACAAATCATGTCCAGACTCTCGCATGTTCAAATTGACTGTTATGTGCATTCAACGTATTAAATTTTCACAACAGAAAGATAAATAAGAAAAAAGGTGTCACGGACTTCTCTCTTTTATTTTCACGCGTGCAGTGAGGATCGTAAGGATCGTACACTAAACATTGATTAAAATGGATAAAAAAAAGCTTTTTGTTAAAAAATTTTGAACTTACTCAATATGTATTTATTTTTTAAATTATTTATTTCATCTTTTCGACTATTATATATAATATTATTATTTAAATTAAAATTTTTATTAAAATGTTTATTATTAATTTATTTATTATTAAAAATTTTTTGTTTCATACCAATAGATGAGTCTGAAAATCTCAGTACAATTACAAAATATTCAACAGACTTAGCATCCTGGAAAGATATCAACGAAGATTTACGAAACTATTGCTTGCAAAAAGATCCATCTTTTTTTCATATTAAGAATGATGAATATACAAAATTAGCTAGAATTTATGACAAAAATGAGAAACAGAAAATAAGATTTTTTCATTCATCTCTTTTTTATCGCAATTTGCACAACGGAGAAACAGTAGAACGAGACTGGCTTTCTTATTCTCCATCGACCGGTAATATTTATTGTTTTATTTGCCACTTATTTTCAAATGAACGAAATCAATTCGCGTTTTTTGGATTTCGTGACTGGAAGCATCCAGAGCGAATTGTAGACCACGAAGAGAGTCGATCTCATAAGGCATCTTTGATAACGTACTCTAAAAGAAGAAAAAACTTAAATTTGATAAATACACAAATGACGCTTCAATTAATAAATAAAAAATTACTGGACACAAGTTCTTCGTAGAATCACTGATGTTATTAAGTTTCTTGCTTCTAGAGGTCTAGCTTTTCGAGGCAGTAATCAAATATTTAGGTCAACGCAAAATGGAAATTACTTAGGAATTTTAGAACTTTTAAGCAAATACGATAGTTTTTTAAAAGATCATATTAAGACTTACGGAAATAAAGAGCACGGAATAACATCATATTTATCTGCGAATATTTGCGAAGAATTTATTGAATTAATGGGGAAACAAATATTTTTTTATATTATCAAAGAATTAAAAAAATCGAAATATTACTCGATTTGTGTTGATTCTACGCCCGATGTTTCGCACACAGATCAGTTAGTTTTTGTAGTTCGCTATACAACTGATAAAGGTCCCATCGAGCGCTTTTTATTATTTATCCCAATTGAGCAACACAAGTCTGAATATTTAAGTGAAGTTGTAATTAGTTTTTTACATGAACATAACGTCGATATTCAAGACTGCAGAGGACAGTCATATGATAATGTCTCGAATATGTCAGGACAATACTCAGGCTTGCAAGCGAGAATCAGAGAAATTAATAAATATGCTATTTACATTCCTTGCGGGGCATTCTTTAAATTTAGTCAGAACTAAAGCAGCTGAGTGTGTTCCGGAAGTCGTAGCTTATTTTTATTTAGTTCAAAAATTGTATACATTTTTTTCATTATCGACTAATAGATGGCAACAACTTTTGTCAGCTTTAGGACCGGAAAACAAAACCTTAAAAAGTCTTTCGACTACTCGATGGTCAGCTCGTTGCGATGCCATAACTGCCTTGCATAACGGTTATGATAAAATATGTACAGTTCTCGAAAAAATAACACAAAATCAAAACACAGCTCAAGATACGAAATACGAAGCGCAGTCATTGTTTAAAAATTAAAAAATATTGAAAATATATTTTTAACTATTGTGTGGAACGATCTTTTGAGTCGTATAAACGATGTTAATGTAACTTTTCAAAAAAAAAACATGAATTTACAAGTAGCTACTCACCTATTAACATCTTTAAATTCGTATTTGAATGATACTAGAGATAAGTTTAATAATTTTTTAGTAAAAGCTAAAAATATTACGGTATTAAGTGGAGATTCGTGCAATCAGAGAATAAAAAAAATTAATACCAGACTAACTTATTTTGATGGACCTTCCAATGAACAACTTTTTAATTCCGATGATAAATTAAGAATCAAAATTTTTTTACCTATTAGTGACTCTGTTTGTACTGATTTGAAGAAAAGACAAGAAGTTTACGATAAATTAAATGAAAATATCACATTTTTTACGACGCTCCAAAAAATCAATAACAAACAAATCGAGGACGCTTGTGAAAACTTGGCAAATATCTATGATAAAGATATCACAGCGGAAAATTTAATTTCTGAATGTTTACATTTTAAACATTATTTAAACGAAACTTATAACGATGATGAGGTATTACTAATTCCTGATTTGTTAGATAAAATTAAAAAAGATTGTATTAGTTCTACTTTTCCTAATATTGAAATTTGTTTACGCATATATTTAAGTTTGATGATAAGTAATTGTACTGACGAGCGTTTATTCTCTTATTTGAAATTTTTAAAAAGCGATGTAAGAAATTCGATGACCCAGTCCAGTCTAAACTATTTATCTATCATGTGCATGGAATCTAATTTATTAAATGAAATAGATTTTAATGATTTGATTAACGACTTTTCGACTAAAAAATGTTGTACAAAACTGTTTAATCGGAGTATATAATCAATTTTAGAAGGAATATCTATATATATGTGTGTATTATGTTTAATATAAAGTTTTATGTTTAAAATAAATTGATTTCATTTTGTTCAAGTATTCTTTTTAAAAAAAATATATTAAAAAAACTTAACGATTGTCTACAAAGAGGCCCCCCTTTTGCAGGAGGCCCTGGGCCCGGGCCCGGTGTGCCCTGCCTTAAAGGCGGCCCTGATTATTTTGTGAAATAACGCTATTGAAAAGAGTAAAAAGGGTATTTGTGAATGATTTTTTTCGTTATTTCTTTAGCATACAAAATAATCATCAAGCGGTAAACATACAATTGATATTTGAAATTAAAAATTAAAAATGTTATCACTTTTATTTCAAATATTTATCTCATAATAATAAGATACTAATAAATAAAATAATACAAAAATTACATATAATTTTTATATTTATAAATAAATAAGAATTTGTGTATATGTATAAATATATTATCAACTTCGGTAATACTAACCAATAAGAAAATTAAAAAATAAATAGTTATCAGAGATTTCACAAAGACTTTAGGCAAATATAAATAGTTAATTTTTGAAAAATAAATTTCAGGATCACATTTTACAACGATAACATCAATTACACTTATGGTTCAAAATAAATATATAAAAATTTTTTACATAATTTGTCAACATCTAATTATTTGGGTGGCTTTGAATAATTTGTGGTGATTGGGCAAGTCCGTTTGTTTCCCATTTTTTTTTATGTTGATCGCCCCCAAAACCTTCATCATAATTTCCTTTGGATATGAACAATCGTTTGAAATGGGGTAGACAATAGAGTCGATTATTATTCCATGTAAAAGTATCCATGCTGTAAGATAAAACCAATAATATTATAATATAAAATAATTGAACATTTTAAAATGTTAAAAGTTAACAGAACATTATATTTACCGTAAAACACATTGACATTGGGTACATTTAAAGCATGTACGATGAAATGGTCTGCCTTCAATTTCCACTTTTTCTAATGGATAAACCTTCTTCTCACACGATTCACAAAGGACTATGCTATCAGATTGTTGCTAAAGAGGTCAACAAAATCAGTTAATGATTAACTTAAAAAAGAAGCTCATAGAAATAGATAAAAACAATAAAATTTATGTTCTAATAAAGAGATAACAAGCAAAAAAAAGTCAAGAAAAAGAAAAAACCAAGTATTAATAATACTCCTAAGTTTTTTAAAACTTAAATTGCATAAAAGCATATATTTTATAACACAACAAAATAAATAACATAAATTGAAGTTTAGCAAAAAGTTTATTAGATTAATAACATAATATCATAAAACAATAATTTCTAATTTAACACTTTAAACATAAAATTAATTTTTTATTCTTAAATATAAATTAACATAAAGCTTAAAATAGTTACACACATTAATATGAATAATAACCACATTTTAAACTTATTTAAGTTTTATAACTAATCTACTGCTTTTAATGTGATGTTAAAATGAGTAAGAAGTATTCAATAAATTTACACTAAATATAAAAAATTTAACATGACAATAATTTAATAAGATAACACAACATATTTTTGGTTAGAGATTAACAGTATACATACTCCTCAATTTACTAATGAAATATTATTAATAATACAAGTTATAAAAAGACTAGTATTTAAAGTAATTAAATTTTGAATATTTATTTATACAATTTTATAAAACTATTTAATCATGAGTACATTAATATTATTTCTCGAGTTTCAAAAAATTAGCGTTTTTTTCTAGTATAACAAATAAAATAAAAAATAATTTTTATGATATATACACTAATTACTTCAACGACTGCATAGACTTTTTTCTCACTGTAACAAAGATTTAATTGAAGCATAATTAAATGATTCAAAATAAAAAAATATAAATAGTTTTGTAATTTATTATATTTAATATTAATAATAAAAACCATTTAGTATTTTTATTTAATTTTAAGACAAATATAATAAATAATAAAATAAATTTAAATCATTAATAATTGTTTGCAAAAATATAGTTATAACATAACACAACACTTCAAGCTATCTACTAATTTTAAGTGAAAATTAATTTAGAAATAAATACATGTTAAACAAACTCACCTTAATTGCATTGTGATTCACACTAATCATGGTTAATTGGTTAAGAAAAAAACAGGTTAACATTTGATTGAACACACAAAATGTACTAGTGAGTGGTAAATAATAAGTTAAGCAACATATTATTGTTGTTTCACAAACAATACGAAAAAAAAAATTATTTGACATCAAAAAAAGATTATTAATTAAAATATATTAAATAATTAGTCACTTAAAAAATCCACAGCAAATGTACGATAACAAAACAATCAATTACCAAAAAATAAAAGACAATTATCAATTTAATCATGGTGTAATATCATTCATTTAAAACTCATATTCTAATCCTAGACACAAATTGAAGGAATTCAGAGTGGCTTAACCATCAAAATATAGTAAATAAACTCCTACCTCTAATTTATATAATTATATCATTATTATATAACAAAAATTTTGTATGGTGTAAAATACAAATAGCCTTTTTAAAAATTTATATTTTGAACCTATGCTAATGACATGTAAAAAGATTAACTAAGTTGCATTATTCTAAATTTTTACCAAAATATTTATTTTATTATTTCACTTTTTTAAATAAGTTATACTAAAAGTATATCTATAAAAAATAATAAAAAAGTAATATTAGATTTAAAAACAATAATAATATTTTTTTTGTATTTTTTAATCAAGTTTAAAGATTTTATATTGAAAAATAATCTTTTTAGTAATATTAATTTGGATTTTTATGTATAAACATACTTAAAACTTATCTAAAATAATTTACTGTATCAATTAGGAATTAAGATATGGTGCTATTTAAACCATACATTGTGTTTTACTAAGAATACAGAGTGACTCGTTTATCATTGACCAATTCAATAATTGCAAAATAAGATAATTATTGAGAATTTTTTGTCTGTTTCTTTTAGTTACTTATTTTTCTTAATTTATCAATTATAAAGTAATTATTATGTTTATAACATATGTCTTGTAAGAGTATCAACTTTATTTTATAGATTGAAACATACATATTGAATTAGATTATTAATTAGATAATGGTATTATTAAAGAAAATTTTGGACCAGTATTTCAGATGTTATTAACAACTTAAAATATGATTGAAGGTGAGATATAAGTTTTGTTATTTTTATCACTAGACATTTCTATGCAGCACTCTTCCTCCCACCTAGAAATAAAAATGTTAAAAACTTACAAAATACTAATTCCAAAGTTGTAATCTACCAGTCATTTTTTTAATTAGAGTATGATAAATATTTATAAAAATAAAATTCTTAACCTTATGGGACATTGTAATATTCACCCAAATCACTTTTAAATAATTCTTAAAATTCTTAGATGTTAATTATAGAAAGGTACAATGTCACAAAAATTATATTATGTGCCAAACTAATATCATAAAATTACATTGCAATTTAAACATATATGTTTTTGTGTAATAGTTATCTAAGTAATGATTACTGTGTAAGAAATAATACAGTGACAGTAATAAAATAATCTCAAAAGGCAATACGACATTCAAGATTATAAAAAAACACATATGAGGACTATTAACTATATAAAGTTAAAAGGTTAAGGTAGAAGTAGTACAGTAGCTACTAGATAAAATAGAGAAGTGTAGAGCAGTATGGAGTAGAGAAATGAAGTTAGCTGCTAGTCAGTTATCATTTCTACAAAATAAACTAGAGAGTAAGTAGAAAATAATCTCGATGGATTTACACTTTTGCAAGCCTTATTTTTATGATTTGTATTATCTCACCTAATCATACTTTATCTTATTTATTCAAATAAAGATGACAAAATAATAATTTAACTTGAATTTCCCCTTTATTAGTTTTAAACAAAAACAAGAATATTGATTATTTTAAAATAGTAAGATTATATTTTAAATTAATGTTCTTCTTTTTTCTCGCTTTTATCCTAAACAATTGATCCTAAATACTTAAAACTTTCCACATCTCCTATCATGTCTTGGCTTTTTATCACTGACCTGCTCATTTCACCTACTTCGAATTCTCCTTTCAGGAGTTAGTCTATTTAATAACAGCGTAATTCACTCATTTACAACTTTTTTGTTATTTTATATTTTATTTTTTATCTTTTTGAATTACAACAAAAAATAAATACAAAAATCATTTCATGACTGATAAATTGAAAAAAATATTTAACTAAAAAGAACATACATTTTTTTTTCAATTTATGAAGGAATTTATGATAAAATAATCATACTAGATATTAATTTTAAATAGAATATTTTTTATATACATTTCTACACTTAAATTATTTTAATCATGGATGAATATTTTAAAATGATGTAATTATAGTTTTTTTTATTTGACTCATATTTAAGATAAATTTTAGAATATGACTCAATAATAACTTTGAGTACTTAAAAATGTCTCAAGCTTACAAAAATGTTGAAAATACATCATTAAATTATTTCACATTTAGCTAAATATAAACAAAGTAAGACACAAATATTTGAAGAAAAATCATTCTTATATCATTTTTTAATGTTAATACACTAAATTAAATTAATCAATTCAGCAAGAAAATGATTATCATATTAATTGAGTATTATTTGATGAAGCACTCTTAATTTACCTAAAAAACTTTGTTTAAAATAATTAATTTGATATCTATGTCGCTATGTCAGACGTTAATGAAAAAAATCCCAATAAATGTCTTTTTTTCGTCCGACTGTCGACATATTAGTGTTGGCCTACAAAAATAGAAAATTTTAAGAAAAAAACTAAAAAGCGAAGTATAAGTAAACGATTAGAAGAAAAAAGCATAAATTTGTTTATATTAATAATAAATATTCCATTATTTACCACAAATCTGTTAACTTTTGGTTTGGGTTTTTCAACTGGTTGCTCAGCTTTGAGTGATTCAAAACGAGCACGAAGAGATTTAGTAGATTCAATACTTTCTTGTTCTGAATCCAGCATTGTTACAGCATTATTCATGGAGTGTTTATCAGGTTCCCAATGCTCAAACTTTTCTTTAAGTGATTTTGCTTTTGCAGCATTTTGTGCCTAAAAGTAATTTTTATTGAATTAAAAAATAATAATTATACTAAATATCTGTCTGATTAAATTATTCTATGAAATGTTTAAACATTAATGATTATTTGAATTCTAAAAATTTATATTTCATCCTAGGATATTTTTAATTAATTAAGTTTGGACAAATGCTTATCATAAATATTAAAAATATTTAAAAGTATTGTTATTTGTTCATATTATCAAATAACATGAATACAAATAGATACAAATAATTTTAGAGAATGTTTTATTACATTTTTTAAAAATTCATCTTCAATTTTCATTGATGACTTTACAACATCATTTGTCTCACTACAACTTGACTCTTCTTCTTCGCTATCACTAACTTCTTCAGATTCAGATTCAGTACCCGATGATTCTTTGTAATCTGGTGGAGGAGTAAACCGTTTCAATGGCTTAAGGCCTTCTGGAACATCCTGTTTAGCTACCTCTAGCTGTCGGAATAATGACAACATTTTGGTAGTAGTATTACTTTTAACAAGATCAGCAGCCTCATCCACTGGATCTTCACTCCGCACAACATTAGGATCACGATAAATATCACGTTCAGGAGATTCACCCTAGACATACATATACAATTTTAAAATAAAAAATTTCATATACAATTATCATTAAATTGATTGATTTGACAGGATAGAATACATTTTATTAAACAAACTTGTTATATAAAAAACTAAGTACCTATAAAGGTGACTAATTTAATTAATAAATAATAAAATAATGCATAATTATTAAAATAAATATAATTTATACATTATTTTATCATACTAACTACAAAACAAAATCTGTTAGATATTCCTGATATAATGAGGTTAAATTTAAAAATACTATTTTAAGTATCTATAATTTAATATATTTATTAACTCCAAATACAAAATCCTTTATAAAGGTTAAATAAAACTGACAAATAATTATTTTTATGATTAAAAATGTTATTTAAAACCACTAAAACAAATTAATATTATAGAAAACAAACAAAAAACTAATAATAAAAGGGAAGTATTAAAGAAAAATTTTGCATATTAATGTAAATACAGAAATGTTAGGAAAACAACAACCACAAAGATTGTGAACCTTAGTTTGGCCTTCTCTTGGAGGTGTGATCCTGAATTGTTTCTTAGGAGCTGGAGGTGGCTTATATGTTTCAAAAAATTTAAACTTTGAAGAAACATCAGCTGTTTCTACAGTTACATCCTCAATGCGGTCACTGCTTTTGACCACATCTTCGGATACTTGACGAGTATACATTGGTGTTATCTAAGAAGTTTAAACATTTTTATTGAGTGAAAGTCATCATATAATGGGCATTTTCACCATATTTAAATAAAAAAAAAAAACTTAAAAACATGTCTTATTTTATAAATGATTTGATAAAAATTTTTCTTCATTAATTATAAAGAAAAAAATAATTGATGATTAAAAATGATATAAAACATAAATATGTAAATAATTAATAAATATCCATAAAATTCATGAATTTAAATTATGTTCTTACGGGTTTGCTGGGAGTGAACTCCTTTTTAGTGTTAGAAATAGGAGGAGATTGCATAGATTTTGCAACATTAGCATCTAACTCCATAAAATGACTCCTAGATTTCTTGGAAATACCTACAAAATAATAAAATAGAGAGTGAATCTTTGATTATGGACTCCTTAATAAATTGAAAAATAAAAATACTATTAATAATTTTTTTTTAGATTTCTTATAGTTATTTTTTTTTTAAATTTATCAAATATGATTAATCTATGCCTATATCTTAAAAGGGTTTCAATTTATTTTTACAAATGGAAACATACATAATTAAGTAGCTATTAAAATGAAAAACTATCTAATTAAGAAAATAAATATGGACTAATATTTCATAAACTATTAATAATTTAAAGTACTGACTGGCGTGGGTCCTTCTATTTTTATCTCTATACATTTTTTGGCCTTGCTCTTTCTTCGGTATAGATATAAAATTGTTTATAATAACTTTCAAAATACTGACCCCAAAAGTTACTATCAAAGTCGTTTTCATAATTAAAAATTTTCCAAAATTTTTAAGCTAATTAATTATATATTTTATCATTTAAAAAAATAAAGTTTTTATCTTCTTAAAATATAAGAAATGAACAGCAAAAATACTTCATCATGATTAATCGATTGAAAGTAATATATTACTAAGGGAAACAAAAAAAAATAATAAATATTATTTTTATTTTTCAATTTATTAAGTGGTTCAAGATAAAAAAAGTCCAACGTACAATTAATTATTACAAATTAAATTGTTATAAACAATGTCACATTAATAAATAAAAAATCAAATCAAATCTACCTGCTTCAAAAACACTCATTTCGTCGTCTTGATTTATCTTATTATTTTCATCTTCTTCTTCATTTTCATCTTTTAATGTTTCACCTTTTTCAAACTTCTCCTTAATTACTTTAGCTTTATCAGATTTATTGATGTTCACATCACGCTTGACACCAGTGCGTTCACTTTCAGCAACAGCTTGCTCATACATTTGTTTCATTTTACCCTGTTTACCCTACATCAGAAAAATGTTGTTAATTTAATTTCAGTAATTTTAGTTGTTTTGTTATAAAGAGAAATATTCAATAATACCAAAAATAGTTTTGATCTAATATTTTGTATTTCTTGTTTATGTTCTTCTTTTATTTCTTCTTTACGCATTTCCCAATTACGTTTTACTGAATCCATTTTATCAAAACTCATTGGTTTTTCTTTGGTAATACAGTTTTTTGTAATATCACTTTTTTCTAGATCTTCTTCATTTTCGCTTTCACTACTAGATGGTTCAAAATATGCCCCATTTAATGCTTCATTAGGAACACCAATGTCCATACCCTTAGATTTAAATCTAATAAAAAGAAAACAAATATTAGAATGTTAAAGTAAGTAATTTAACCTTAATATAAACGAACTTCGCCATTTTGCTTAAAATACTCGGTGACCTTTTTACACTAATTGGAGATTTTTCCATAGATGTATTACCATTTGTGGTACCATTTTCGAAAGCTTGGAAACGTGACTTAACATTTAAAGAGCTCAATTCTTCCAAACCCAAGTCCGGCTTATCGCTCGCTGTTGATTAAAAATTAGGTACAAGTATTAATTTTAAATATAACTTTATTTCATAATATTAATTTATTGGTAAAATAATCAAAATAAAACGAGTGCTAATATTTTATATAACATACAGAAAACTATTTCATTAATTGAATATTTTGGTCGAATTAATAGTTAAATTAAATGCATATAAAAATAAGATGTTAGTACAAAAATTACATTTGGTTTATAATTTGAGTTTTACTAATAGTAAAAATTACCAAGATTTAATTATATACAAGTAAATAGAGGCGTATAAAGCTATTTGGCACCTGTAAGCTAAAAAATTTTTATACCCCCTCCACATTAATTATTTACGAGTGTTAAAAATGAAAATTACTTCTCATAAAAATAAAGCTGCCCTAGACCGCAGCCTAAACTAGCGAGTAAACTTTTGTTTAGGTACTAGATTTTATGGTTAATTGAGTTTTTAATCAATTAAATTATTAAAAAGAAAATTTTTTAATTAGGGTAAAATAGGTCTAATACACAAAAAAGATATTACATCACACACAAAAACAAACTACACATTCGTCCAAATTATTTTTCAATACCTCTAACCACATCTGGTGGTAATTCAGCAGGTTGATTTTCACGAATTATCATTTCAGGTTTCTTGCGTTTAACTAATATGAAGCGATGTCGATTGTTATGATTAAAAAAAAATTGAAAATTATTAAAATAATTAACACAATTTTATTTGTTTTATATTTAATAGTCCTAACGAAAACTACTTAGTGAATTAAATGATATAAAATTTATTCATGCAATGAAAGTTAAAAATAATTTTTTGACGAGTACCCATTACTTTTAAATGCCTTACAATTTTACAATTACTATCCAAAAGCCATGTCAGAAAATGGTAAAATTTTATGAGATTTTACAATATATACCAAAAGAAGTATAAGCATAAGTGTAAAGAAATATTAATATTAATATAAAAATACTAATATTATAAGTAATGTACTTATTTAAAGTAATTTATAAGTTCCCCTATGTTAATATTAATTTTATGGCTTCTTGCTTACTTGGTTCTTCTTCTTCAACGACAACTTTAGGTTGAAACAATTCCTTGAAGTGTGGTTTACAGTACAATAAACCTTCATGACTACTGTATATGTCAACTCTGAAAAGAAAAAGCAAAACTTTTTGAAAAGGCCACGCATAAATTATATTAAATTACTCACGTTAACTGCTTATTGCACGTGGTACAACGGAAACAGTTTTTATGCCAAACTTGACGTTCCGCTTTGATTTGCTCCATAGCATAGACGGTTTTATCACATGACTTACATACGGAAAGGACTTCTGGACGAGCAACTCCATTCTACGAAACCACAAATCAATTAGAACAATTAATTATATCTACTCGTAGTACATTAAATAAAATCCAACATACCTGCTTAGAGTCACCTTTATCAGATTCCAAAGATCTTTGTTGAAGAATTGCTTTTTTTTCTAACTGATCAAATTTACCAAAACTTGATTTCTAAAAAAAAATATTTTTTGAATATATTTGGCTTATTATCATTTAATAATTATACCAAAATCACCAATAATAATCAAAAGTAATACACTGTTATACGCACAGCATAAGTATTTATTTTTAGTTGTAAGTAAAATATTACCACCATTAAAAAATATATTTTTTAGGTTAAATTAAAATTTTATAGATCTATAATATATGTTAAAACAAAATCAACTATTTTTAGTTGAAAATTAGTGATTCGATGTTTACAGACAAAATATAAAGTAAAAGAATGATAAAACAATTAACACGGGACATACGATTGGATATATTTTCTAAAAAACATTTCTTGGCATATTCTGGCTGGATATATTTTTGTAATAGTCTTAGGAATGTAGAGCGGAAGAAAAGATAGCGGAAAAGATAAAAAGTTAGACACATTAATATGGTAGTATGAAATATTGTTTTAAATGTGTTGAAATATTAAATGTTATTCATATTATTAATCAAAGTGGTCAAATTTAAGAGAAATCCTATGAGAATTTCATAAACATTAGAAATTAATGTTACTATAAAACAACCTTACACAAATGTGGGCGGGAGAAATAACCAATAGAACTTATTAAAGACACATATGCAGATTTAATAGAAAATATTAATATTTAAAAATAAAAACTACTGTAGGAGTACGGTATGTAATCCTAAAATAGTTAACGAAATACATTTTTTATCTCAATTCCAACACCAAAATAATACATGAATAATTTGCTCGTCATCTACACAACACTATATCACATAAAACGGTCAAATTTAATGGCACATATATTGTATTATTAATAGAAAACTGCTTGGGTAAGACGAAAATTTTTAAGTTGAATCACCCGTTTTATTATATCTTATTTATAATAATATGAACAATACGCTTTAGATAGTTAAGTTCAATTTTTTTATTATAAAGAATAAAATTCCAAAAACAAAAGTAGCTGATAACTAAAAGACTAAATTATTTTTCTTACTTTATTCATTAAATATTATTGTAAAAAGAATGCAATAGTATGTATAAATAAAATAATAATAATAATAAGCAAACTTAATAAATATGTTAAACTGAATACTTGCCAATTTAATAAATAAAAAAGTATAAAACACAATTTTGGAAAAATTAGAACTATTAAATACAAGACCCATATAAGTATACTTAACTGGCGTATTGAAATAGCGTCGACAGTCTAATAATAGAAAGCTCAAATATATTTGTCAGTATAAAGCGTATAAAATGAAAAAACAATCATAAAGGCAAACTAACCATATGTGCAACACTAAAAGCGTATCAACAGCAATGAATTTCAAATGTATCGATAGATAACGTAAAAGCTTATTTGGCAACACTATGCACATGTATTATAATACTTACTATACAACCGTTTGTCGATGTGTTTTCAGACGGTCGTTTTTCAACGACACGAGCGAAATTCCGCTTCTTAGCAAACACCGATGAAATAATTAAATAAACAAAAAAAATTAATTACAAATAAAGCAAAAAAAAAAATAAGCTAATACTCATATGACAAGACGTATACCACATATATGATTTGATACGTTTTAGTGAACTGACTTCCGTGTTAAAGAAACTAAATAAATAATTTTATTCATCATACTTATTTATAACTATATTCTTATAAATCAAAGTTTTTTTTTATATGCTACCAATAATCAATTGATAATAAACAAATAGTATCTTAATACTTTATAGTAGCACCTTACAATTAAAAATAATAATGCAGTTATGAAAAATTCCATGCAGTTTAATTAGTACAAGTAGGTTCACTTAATAAGAATAATGAAGATTAAAAAAAATTGAGATTAAAGAACAAAAATTGAAAATGAAATCAGTTCACCAAATAAATGATGCAGCTATACTTTCACTTACCAATTCGTTAATTGGAATTGAAGCAGGTACAGGTTCTTCAGGAATAACAGTCGATGATTTTCGGTTAGCTTCGTTACAATAAGTTTTTTTCTATTAAAAGCATACAATACAAGCAAAAATGTAAACAAATTACATATACTACATATACTAAAAGTACAATATAAAGCAATACGAGACGGATTAGTCCAAATTACTCGTGAACAATACACACACACTTAGCTACCTATAAAACTGTTACAAGAAGCATAAATCTAAAGTTTGAAATTCCTAAGCATATAAAAGGTCTTTAAACATTAACCATCACATATTGCTATATAATCATTTTCTCACATAAATAAAGAGAATCCAAATTCCTACTGTATTAAATAGTTGTACACGAACATGTTCGTTCTCATAATGTGATATGTTACCTATTTAACTGTGTTGAAACAAAAACATAACACATATGAATGAATTAAATTAAGCCAATAATTGAATCTTTTACTACACAAATTATTTTTAATTAGGAAAAAATACGTCTACGCGCAAGTTGTCTGAGTAGTCCGATTGTACTGTAATTATAATTGGTGTTTTTAAACAACAACACAATTGTCTATAGATTGTAGTATGAAATATTTGAATAGATTATTTTTTCTTGGCCAAATCAACGGAAGAATTAAACGATTAAATTGGTCGGCACTTATAATACGTTTAGAGCATTAATTCACAACTAACAATAATATACAAACAAGGTGCTTTTTTAGTGCATTGTTGTAAGTCTCTAGTATGGCTAGTGACCGACAAATTTTGTCTTTGTAATTACCACAAAACGAGCGTATGGTCCGAAATTATTACGCGAGATCAGATGTTTGTGATAGGGTTCAATATATAATGATAAATACAATAAATAATTCTGGCCGGAGGAGTGGCAAATGTCTTATTGATAGTACTTATTTATTACTTGAGCTTCCGGTTAATCATTATTGTCATCAAAGCAACAACATTGTTTTTTATTTATCCAATAAAATAATGTTCATAATGGAAAAACATTCATAACGTCTTAAACAAGTGGTCTACATATAGGAATAGCCACTCCTATGTCTTTTATAATTATTGAGCTAAATATCTGTACTAATATTATACATAGAGAAATCACGTAAGACAATAGCACATAACCTTTTATTAGTCTAAAAAATAATCAAATTTTATGCATGATATTTAATTTTATAACAAATGATTTACTTAGTCCAACAATTTAAACATTATTTTCTTTTTTTAAAATCCGAATAAGATATATGGACATTGAATATATTTAACCGATTTTAAAAAATTTAGAATGGATCATAAAATAAAAATTTTTTTACCAAATGTTTCAAATAAAAATTATAAACCCTATAACTATCTGAAATATTTTTACTAGAAATAATAATCGATAAAGCAACTAGAATTGATTACATTCCCTCAACGAGGCCAAACAGCTTAAAAGTATAGACCTCACACCTTATGAGGCAGTAATGTTATACGAATTTAAAGGACAGTTATTAAAAATAAAAGTAATGCACACTATCTTCAGAATAAATTGAAAAAAAAACGAGTTTACACGGATGAAAATGGAATATAAGCATAAAATTACAATGAACCATAACAAGTAAATTTACAAATATTTAATTATTCTGCATAGTTAAAATAAAAATGTGAATATGGCTTAACGACCACGCATTTTTCTATATCCGTACAACTGTAGCTAATTGAGGTGGACATAATTTAGACAGTATACTTTGACATATAAAATGTTAATCTAACAAATTCGCGAAGAATAAATTTTAAATTATTCCATATAGTATTATTATCCTATAACAGACAAAACCTGTCAGTTTGACCTAACTGGTAGAATCATCTGTTTTTCAAAATCACTAAGAAAAAAATATGAACGTACGGCTATAGTAAAAAAGGATAATAAATTGCTCATTTATTTTTATTACAGTATTGCCGTGCCATTTGGAATGTTTTATTTAGTTTTTGCAATTTACAATTCATAAAAACGGAAACGGCATTAGGAATTACGGTTTTATTAGTATTTCTTTGACCAACTACAGAGTGATCGGTTAATCATAAACCACTCGATTACTCGCAAAATAAATACAATATTGAAAAAATAATTTTTGATTTCTATTAGTTACATATAACTCTTGATTTATCAGCTAATAACTACTTTTTAGAATCATCCCTTATAACATATAAAGGGGTGTCAACTTTTATCAATTTTAACGGCAACATACATATTTAACTAGATTATAAAGTAGGGAATAATCTAATTAAGAAAGTAACTGGTTGATAACAACTTTTGGACCAGTATTTCAAGAGTTATTAACAATTTATAGTAAGGACTGGAGGTAAATAGTGATGCTGCTATTTTTATTACTAGTCATTTCCCGTCCATACTCTTCGTCCCGTCAAGGTATAAAAATGAGAATAGTTTACAAAATACTGGTCAAAAAGTTGTAATTATTTTCTTTATTAGATTATTTCCTATATTATAAGCTAGGTAAATATATATGTTGCCATTTAAAGAAATTAAGTTGACACACCTTTAAGTTACAAGGTTTCTGAGAAGTAATAGAGTATTCAGAGTAGCTGATAATTCAAGAACTATATGTAACTAAAAGATATCAACATTGTATTTACTTTGAGAGTAATCCAGTGGTTTATGATAAACCAACCACTCTTTATAGTATTATTAGCATTGTAATTTATCGAGTAAAAGGACAAAATATTGTCAATAAATGTAACGAAAAAAGGCTCGGTGTATACATATACATAATAATATTATTTTGTACTTTGTCGTGTACCTACTGTATTTATGTGCATCAACTCAACTAAGTGTACACTTAACACTAGGAAACTAATTTCACGATAGAATATACTAAAGTAACCGATACAAAAGAAAATATATGAGCATTTCAAGGCCGGTGTCCAATTAATTCCCAGACAATGTAAATGCTTGCGCCCAAATGGACCATTGTAAACGGAAAGAAACAATCTCATTGTGCAGCTGTGCGGGTGTATTTTAATTGAGAGAAACAAACATCCGAAAAGTACTTGTAAGCGTTTACCGAGTTACCTGCGTAACTCCATACCGGTTATACTTACGAGGTCTCTTACGCATACGTTTGACAGATCGTCCTCCTCTTCAATGGCACATTCGTCGAACTTTTCTCCGGTGCTTTTCTGAACCGCGACGATTTTGTCCGTAGAGAAGCCGTTCATATGCTATACAAAAGCCAAAAAAAAAAAAAAGGTTGCAACTACTATTCACAAAATAACGTAGGTACAACAAAAACTATACATTAAGTGCGTGTAAATTTTTCATAGGACTCTCTCCTATGAAAAACGATTTTATTTGAAGAATAGCAAGTCACGATAACAAGTACTAGATAAGGATGCAGAGAGAGAGAGAGAGAGAGATAGTTTAGAATTCGCCTTAAATAGACAAGAACGCGACTGGGCACGACGATGCGCCCAAAATTGCACACACAGCCTAATTGTGGGTAGCTCCTTTTCTATATTTGTACATGATATACAATTTGAAAAAAAAGAGTAATTACTAATCATCAACTAGTAGATGCAGTCAGCGCGGAATCGAGATGTTTCAACTATATACATATATTTCTATTGCGTGCAACGATACAAATCAGAATGCTTCAACAAAACACAAGCGTCAAAATACTAATTATATAGTATATATATATATACAATACCTCGTGTCGTTGGGATGTATAATTTTGTTTTAAACAAATAAAAGAATCCTAGAGAAAATTGTTACCCATTTTTACTTCGATCAAAGAAGTGTCTCTGTCTAACGGATGACAACTGCATCGAGTTTAGTTTGTTTCGCACGAAAAGCTAATGAAAAAGGTAATGTAAAAATTATTTAAAAACTCAAATCTAAAAAAAACACGTTAGTACGTTTAATACGACTAAAAACGGACAAAGGAAACGGTTAATAGAGAAAAATCAAATGCACACCATTAGTTCTTAAGTAAACTCACAACAGATATGTTCTCTTTCTCGTCAGATTTTTTTGACTTTTTTGTTTTTTTCGTCTTGACTACGGTGGTCGCTGTCGACTCGCCGTTAACAGCCGAAGACTTCTTCTTGACGCTCTTACGCTGTTCAGTCGTCTTTTCTGACACTACTTCGGCCTGCCAAAAGACCATAATAAAACATTACACATCAATTCAAAGTATGCCCGTCAACCATGTCATTTGTCGAGTGCGCATGCATAATATTAATGACATATTGTACAAGAAATAAACGTACGAGCCGTAAATTTTCAACAAGCAAAACGGTGAGCAGCAACGGGCTCGACTATCAGATTGTAAGTACACTTGGGGCCGGTTGGTGGGTCGAGTATAAACTAGTAGGTGTACAGGCACAATGGCGCGTATAATGGACAATAGGGGAAGAACACCGTGACGACAACGTGTACATGTGGAGTCATGTATACATCACCACCGTATCGTCCGCGAGCCGTCGTTTATCACAGTGTAGAGCCCCACCACTGATTTACAACGTTATACAGGTACACGAAAAGGTATTATAAGCAATTGACAAGCGAATTTTTTTCAAATTCGAATTATTTTTAACATTAAGTTACACGATGCGTATTTGGTTACAAAGGCGATTTATGAAATTTGGTTAATTTGGAAGTCAGAACTCATATTAAGCTACTGTAGATTAGCTACTTAACAGTAAAATTACTTATAATCGATCGGATTAGGACTACTTGAGTTGCAAACAACAATAGAAAACCACAATGACTAGTTCGCATTCCCCTCCTCCCGTACTAGCATCTTACCAATGACTACATCAGAATTGAGTTTTTCCTATTATCGAAAAAATAACTAAAACGTGACTTCGTTTACTACTATTACACCAACGATTACATCCATTTCATATATGATGCAGTATTTTTTTATGATTCCTAAGTAAACCAAATCTCAAAACAAAATGTCAATATGAAATATGATTTTATGATAATTCTTTAAAAAAACTTTTTATTTATATAAAAAACATTTATTGTTTAAATTAGCCTCTAAGATACACTTAAATAGAAAAAACATTTTTTTGTTTATAACATTACTTACAGACAAAATAATGGTTAAAATAAAAGTATTATCAATGCTTAAGTATAAATTTTAAATGATTGGTGAGATTTTGTAAAGGAAATAAAATCACAGAAAGCTAATAAAAAAAAAATCAATCTTGTCATTGAAATCATTTAAATAGCTCTATTAAATATTGTTATAAAACTACTTTCTAAAATTTGTTACTTGATTTTTTCTAATTCTTCTATAGATTCTCAATATGTAGTTAATTTCATGAAGGTTCAAACAAAGAAGAATTGAATAACTATGTCACATATTAGATAATAACCGGGAAGGAGTTTATGATTGTTTCCGGTATCAATAAATAATTTTTGACGAGCAATAATACCATTGGCCTGTACTTATCATTAATTTATCATATTTTTTATAATTACAATACATGCAAATTTATTTTGAAGCATTTAAGTCAACTTTAATAGTAATAAAAAAAATTAACTGTGAATGATTTCTATCTAAAGTGAAGTTAAAAGCCAAGTGCTATTTATGAAAACTACTACTATTCTAATAAATTTAAAGCAACATAATCTAATAAACTAACAAAAAAACCATAGAAACGATGTTATAGTGCACACTCAAATCAACAATTCTAATGTCTATAAAAAATAAAGTATTTATATAAAATATCAATTAAGGAAAAAAAATTGAGTTTGCAATAAGGTTAATTAATACAATTTACACTAAATTGATTAACTATTCAATTAAAATTATTTGCTGCCAAGAATTTTCATTTAATATACTTGTATTCATATAACCTATTTTTACTGTGTAATTAATAATTAATATAAGCAATCAAACAAAAAACAAAACTCACAACACTGTTAGTTATAACTGGTGCGTTAATGTCAAAACACTCTTTGTTATTCTCGGCAACGACATTGGGAATGCCTAAGCTTATCTCGGGCTCTTCGTCACCGTTGATAGGCTTAGCACTTTGAGCTTCGAATTTTGAGATCTCGTCAGCCGTGGTCCATGTATCGAACACTAATTCAGTTACGTTATCCAATTCATCAGCTGGAACAGGTCTAGTGAACATTCGAGGCTCCTCTAAATCTATACAGGGAGGGTCTTGTTCGACAAACTCTCTCATCAGTCCATCCTCGAAACCACTGCTCATGTTATCAGACAACGGTCCGTCATTGTCTACATCAGATTTTAGTGTATCAGAATCAACAACTATCTCAGACCCAAGACCTTTATCGCTTGTCTCTTCAGCGTGCAGTTTTTCCGACAGGACAAACATTTCACTTGACTCTTTTTGATTGTGGTAGTCATTATGTTTTAAAGACTCAAAGTCTGAGTAATGACCGTCATCTAATTTAACAGTGGCCCCGTGAACGGACTCCGCGGCCAACATTATGTCTACACTACACTTGACGCGTTCGGAGGGAGTTTCGCATTCGTTAAGACGTTTTGTTAACTCGTTGTCGATAACATGCTGCAACGAATCATCGTATTCGTCCGAATCGTCAACTTTGTTAGTGTGCTCAGGTGAGTTATTCAAACTGTCTGGTTCATTAATATAAGTACTTACGCTATTTACGCCCGCCATGTGCACCACTGGTGACGGTAACGACGTTTACCTGAAAGTGAAAAAAATCATGTCAATCTTTATGTGAAATACTTATACTTTCAAAAACACGACTACATTTATTAAACAAAAAAACAAAGTATTATGTTTCAAAATATCGCATGTTTATTCTAAATTCATCATACATCAACAAATTAGGAAGTTTGTGTAAGTAATGAGTGTATATATAATACACTATGTGCTATTCTGGCATTGACCCAACTATGAAATACCATGTGCAAGGAAATGTTCCTTGTAATTGTTCATACTATACTCGGGATTTAATGAGCGTTATATCGCCTAATACATTAACACAGCGTCACGGCCTAGAAGTGATAAGAGACTGAAATCTTAAGGTCAGTCATAGGACTTCCAATACATCCTATCAACTATAAACTAGGTACCGTTGATGACGAATGACATTTTAAAATCGTGGCAGCTAGAGAATAATACGATTACACAGAAGGCCAAAGTCTCAGACGACGTATAACTGGTTTTCGTCGTCATCACACAGAGTGTATTAAACATATAATGCACTTAAATCATCGTGGCCGTACTCAGATAGTACACACCGACATGTTGAAAAACAGGCTAAACAGCTATTACGGTAAAGAAAGGTTAGTGTCCAATTTTTTTTAATGGGAAAGTTCATACACAACAAATGTTGGCTGCAGAAGGATGTACATTTTTTCCATTATAATACTGACCTTATTGTTGATTAACAAAAAAATCACAACATAATAGATCATTTACACTTGATTCCTAGTTAACATAAAATATTTTCTAAAAGAAAAAATAGTGATCACATTTAGTTACACCACTAAAGATTATTAATGATCAAAACGGGTTCAATGAAACTTTCAGTTAATAATATTTCAACATGTATTTATTTTTAAAAAGAAATTTAGTGTCTAGAAGCACTAGACAGGCTACAGAAATATCGTTTGCATACACACACCGATTAGGCCAATGTATTTACTTAAACCATACATTAAATAATAAATATAAAGAAATGAATACTTAAGAGATTTAAAGGGGTTTTCTCACGTACGCCAGATAAAAAAACATTGTCGCATTAACTGCATTATAGCTGCATAGATCAATACATAACATACTGAGAAAGACGAAAAAAAAAATTACAACTCTGTTAAGATTACTAGTAAATTTTTTATAAAAGATTTAACATTTAATTTTAACCTACAGTTTATGTATTTAATAACATAATAATGTATCATTCCAAGAATAGCCGTAATTACATTAAAGGAAATAATATCATAGTTAATTACTAGTTTTCACAATTTATAATTGTTCATACTGTTGACCAATTAAAATGTTAAAAGGTAAACAGAAAAAAATTTTTTTTAATTCTGTAAAGAAATAATCATATTTTTTAGAGAACCAAACGAAATACTTCTGTTTAATTTCTTATTTCAACGTCTGCACTAATTAATTATAGTATATGTTAAAAATTAATGTTTCATTAAACCATTAAGTTTTATAAATATATACAAAAAAGAATTTACAAAGTATATAAAAGACTGTAAATTAATTAGGTACACTATACAGCTTAGGTAAGTATTTACAAAAAATAAAATACAAATAATTTGAAAAGTATTATAATTTATTACTATTAGGAGAAGTATAAGTGATATCAACGATAAATTTACAAAGAATCAATTTATTTATCAACTTATTGGAAATTCTGAAAACAAGATGTTTTCTTAAGAGCCCACCCATTTCCTGGAATTTTAATATAAATTAAGCTTATCACCCCCCCATGACTTATGTCTGATAAATATTGCATGTCACTTATTGTTAAAGGGTTAAGGGCACGTCATTTAAGTTCGATGACCCTTAACAGAATCCCAATGCATCGCATGGTCCGTTGCCAGCTTCGAGGCATGAAGAGCCATTAGGATTAAAAAAACGTGAGTTAACGGTAATTAACGGCTGAAATATTTCCAGTTAACAAGCTTTGACAAACAATACAAATAAATAGAAATATATATTTTGTAAGTATATAAGTCTGTTTTATACACACGTACAACATCATAAAATAGCATACAGTAGACATAACTGACAAAGGATTTTTTTGTTATTAACGACTTTGATAAAAAATAAAACTATATAACAACATTAAGGGCGTATCAATTATTAATCCTACTATTAAAATTCATTAACCTGGCCTTATCATGGAAAAACAATTATGACTTAGACATAAATTTTTATAACGTGACAACGAATTTGTAAATGGAATTCAACAGTACAACTAGCAACAATAATTAAAATAAATGGTTGGTGCTGAACACGGTTAAATAAACCACTTACACAATAACATATCTATACATATTTAGATTGTTAATAAATAAATATTGGAAAACCTAAAATTATCGTTAATCCGATTCCGCTAGGATAATAATTTATACAGCCGCTTGATCAAATAATATTATAATTATGGTTTACAAATCTATAGCTTAGGTTTTAGATTTTTTATTATACGCGGAGCATAAAAATAAAAACCTAAAAATATCAATGTGCTCAAGTAAATATTTCTTTTGGACGTTATTTACATCTTTGCATAGGGCTATAACACCCAACAAATTATTTTTATTAATTTCTAAAGATTTTACCGTCATTTTACAGTTAAAATAAAATCTATAAAACAAAACTTCACTCATCATAAAAAAAAAAAATTATAAATTTATGCAAAATCCGCTCTCGAAAAATCCAAATAATTTTTTACCGCTTATGAATATAAAAAAATATAAACAATGCCATAAAATATTAACTCATAGATAAATACGAAACAAATTTAAAAACATACTATAACTATTAATAAGAATATATTTTAATATTAGAAATTTCACTAAAAAGATGAAAAAATTTTTCTGTATATATTCATCAAGTAAATCTAAATTTGGTTATTGAACTCAACATTAACTTAATTTTAGAGAATAAATTCTTAATATTTTACATGTAAATATTAGCAAGTTTATTGGTAATTAAATTAATTATTGAAATAAAGGTCCAACTGAAAATATTTCATTTTTTCATTAGAAAAATATCTTGAAATTAAGCCTTTGTTCATTTTTAAAAATAAAATTTTTTTAGAAAAATTAGTATTTCTTTTGAGTATAAAATATAGCACATTTAATCAAAATAAATTTATTTTGATAGAATCACTATATTTAAAGTAATTATCACAATACTTGAATAATAAAAACTACTTTTTTTGTTGTATATAGAGTAAAATTCTTTAATCGAAGTCTTTGTATAATTAAATAATTTATGTTAGACAGATATAGTAAATTCTTGTAAACAATTAAAACCAACATTTATGTAATTTCAAATAAAACGAAAAAAAAAGTTATATTGAAAACGACGCATCTCGCAAAAAAAAACAAAATTGATCCCTTTTCTATTAAGAGATTCTTAATAGAATTTAAATTGAAATATATAGAATGCAATATATAAATGTTGGATAATTAGTATTTAGTACAAATTACCTACTGAAATTTTCAAAAGAAGAAACTCATTAAAATAAATTTGATGCCATAAAAACAACTTTGCAGGTTCACTAACCCATACAATAATTAAGACTGTGAAAAATCTCACCGTCACTATCGTTTAAACAATAAGGGAAATAACGTTAGACTGACATACACACATAGTTATTAAGTCGCTTCCTTTTCATTGAATATAAATATAATGCGTTGTGGGTCAAAACTTAAGGAATATATCTACCTTACATGAGTCAGTTAATAATTTGAATTGTAAAGAATCTTTTTATAATATGCATTAATAACGCATAAAACATTACGAACTGGAACTATGATGGAACCGAAAAATTGTTTAAATACTGTACAAGAACACTGATAATAAATGCATTACTAAAATTGTTCAAGCGATTTCCTCATTCTTGTTTCTGCTTTATCGGTTTTTAAAGATTTTTATATTCATCAACATGAAGCTAAGATTTTTTTGAACTCTGTAACATTTTTCTTTATCCTCTATAAGAGATATTTTCGTTTTGGCACCGTTGGCTCCACATTCCTAAATTTCTGTGTGTGAGTGGACGTTGGCTGAAGAAAGAATTTGATCCGAAACACACACGATTTTTATAGGTACGTGTGCACACATAAGACTGCTATTAATTTTCACGAAACTCCCTCGCCCAAAGGTCAACTACTAATACAATGTAGCGATTGTTACTACGTTTAAATACATATTTAAAAAGCCTGAAACCTTAGCGCTCGGCTGATAAATTCATTCACAATGAGACATACATAACTTTTTGAAAATATAACTGGGATATCTTAAACAAGGAATGTACCTTTTGAAAATATCACTGAAACCCATAAAGAGCACGGGATATTATTAGTTAAACGGTATCGAGTATCCGGATAAGAACGTGATTTTTACAAAATATACTAAAACATTAGTTAGGTTTACCATTTAAGTTAAATTTTACTAAAAAATAAACCAAATCGCTTTCCAAACAACAAAATAACTTGACGAATTAAAGAGTATTTTAAAACTAAAATGTTCAGTTTAATCCCGAAAAAACATTTTAATGACAACATAAATTTAGTTATCGCAAAAACATGTGATGAATAATTTTGAAGAGAAAAAATATCTCGATTTAATAAAACAAAATAGTAATAATTTAATTTTATCATACAAGTGATTAGTTAAAACTACTGTTCATGTATAGAATGCAAACTTAAATCGTAGTTCAAAGTCACTATTATATTATACTACAATAGTATATACTATGCACTATTGAAAATTATATAATATTCAATTTGTATCAAATTAATGTAATTGAATTATGTGTTTTGTTTAGTTCCATGGAAAAGCAACTTTTATGTGATGTTATAGAAAACTAAAAGTAATAATTACTACGTAGTTATACAATATAACTGATAGCAATTGATTTTGAATTAATGACATTTTTTTGAAAAATATTAAGTAAATAATTTAAGCTATCATTTCGTAAAAATTATAATATTA